TTTTATATCTAATTGAGGTCAAATAATATATGCAACTGTGTACCTTTTTAATATTTTATAACATAGTATCTTCCCAAGTTATTATTTTCCAAAAGACATAATTTTTAAGTCACAGAATTTTTCATTTATTGTATTGCTAAACCAGAATAAATTTTTCTCCTAGCCATCCTTTTACTAGGTTCTATGTAAGTTTTCTCTTTTCTTTGCTTGCCTCCAAGTTTCTGGCAATCTCCTGCAACATGCCTCTGGTCACTTACATCTTCTTTTCTGCTTAGTTTGCCTAGCACTTTTTGCTATCCTCAAACCCTATCCATCTCCATCATACTATTCCAGAATCCCAGCTCAATCCATTAGTCTCAAAAAAACATGCAATGAGAGCTAATTAATACTTTGTGGTTCAGCCTAACCTGACCTGAAACTGGTTACAATGATCTACAATCCAAAGACTTAAATAATCCTGTGGTTAAATCCATTTGGGAAATGATGCCTATTATGTTAAGCTTTTCCCACAGACTTAAAATGACCATCAGCACATCAAAGTTTTGAGAAGCCTTATAGCTAACAAACCTATTAACTTGGCTAAACCTGGGATTTCTCAAATGTATTTAATTTTACATCACTCATAAATGACAGAGGTGTGAATCAAATAGGTCTTCTGAGTCAATAAAGCCTCTTCCCAGAAGTAGTTAAAACCTCTCTGGTTCCAAACACTTCAATGCTATTTCCATGTTTCCCTTTTATGTCTTTCACTATTTCTCAACATCGGGCTTAAAATTTAGAAGTAGACTTAAAGCTTTCTAGAGAATGTTTACTTTCAGTGGCTACATGAAGCTATATCAAGGTGAGAAAAGGATCATAGTCTTAAGACACTTTATGATTTGGAGTAGGACTATAAGAATCCACAAGTAAAATTCAGCTAATTCAAGCATATTAAGGACTATTTAGAATGAAAAAAGTAATGCAAAGTAAAGTTGTTTTTTTTTTTCAATCCATTCAACCAACATAGTTGAGTGCCCAGTATGTACCAGATACTGTTGGCTAAGGAAAAATCATCTGGTTACGCCCATAACTCTGCACAACAACGTTATTTTCAACAGAGGAAAATGAGTCAGATGTTAAAACAAAACAATAACAACAACAACAAACTCCTTGTGATCAGTATTTGACAGATGTGACTATTATGTCTCTTTCAACTCTATTGTTTGAGACAGATTTGGAAAACAAAGAGTATTCAAACAGCCAGACAAAATTTGGTGAGTTAAAAAACAACATTTCTAAGAAAAGAGCAACAAAAGCTAATTACTAAGTTGAAAGAAACAGTTAAATAATTTTCTGAAAGTATTCCTTAAAGTACATGGATTATGGAACCTGGAGAGAATGACCAAATGCCTACTGCCTAAGTATCTGACAATATTATAAAGGGGTAAACTAAAGCTTTATGGTTGTAGGCCAAATATAAGAAAGAATTTCCCAATGTGAAATGTGTTATTGGACAGACTTTCATCACCTCTAAAGATGCTGGATAAAACAGATAAGATTTAAAAGAGACCTCATAAGGATATCATACTTGGATAATTAAGTAATTTTGGTTTAGACAAAAAATTTTAGGCCCCAAATTAAAATGCCAAAAGGCTATGATAACTATCATATCAAACTGCTTACATGAAGTTTTAAATAAGTTTGTGCTGTTTTGTACCCTTTCCTTTTGCAAGAGTAGTAAAAGAGCAAAACGCCAGTGTCAACAGTACTTTGCTAATGCCTACAGGAAACACTGATTAAAGGGGTTTCTTAAATCTTTCTTACATTAAAAATTCTGTGCACCTTCACACAGATTAAGTTTTAGATGATAAAAGCATGAAGTAAAAAATCATTTGAACAAGTTCCAGGGGCTAAAAAATACATGCTTTGAGACATTGTCATTTCCCATTCCATTACCATAAACACATTTCTCAGTGGAAACACTGGCAGTGTGCAATGTACAGCATATACACCTTGCTATTTTTCTAAAATCTGAGAAATGCTACATTTCATAGTCACCTGGATAAGGGATTTTGGACCTGTACAGCAAGAGAGAGATGACTTGGGTCAGAGTGGTAGCATGGACCTATGAGAGGTGGTCACACACAGGATTTCCTTACAGATCGGATACAGGTATCAAAAAGAGTGATTTAGGAGGATTTCATGTTATCACCTTAGCAATGGGTGCTTTTCACCTGGGGTTGAAAAGGCTGGTGGTAGAACATGTGTGTAGATAAGAAAAGGAATGATTCTGGACTTGTTGAGTTTGAGATATCTGTTCTCATTCAACTGAAGAGATTAAATAGGTTATATGCCAGTCTGAAGTTTGTATGTAAACTGGAGATGTATTTTTGTTATAATACTTTTTTCCCTTGGTTTTCTTTTAGAATATCTTTAAATCCTTTCCAAGAGGGCAACACACACATATTATAAAATCAAAGCTCTATTTCATAACTCCTTCAATTAAAAATATTTTTCAAGATAGTACATTGACTCATACCTGTAATCCCAGCTACTTGGGAGGAAAGATCAGGAAGATTGCTATTTGAGGCCAGTCTGGGCAAAAAGTTAGTGAGACTTCATCTCAACCAATAGCTGGGTGTGCTGGCAACTTGCCTATCATCCTAGCTATGTAGGAAGCATAAAAAGAACTGCAATCCAGGCCGTCCTAGGCAAAAACATGGGACCCATTCCAAAAAATAATTAAAAGCAAAAAGGGCTGGGGTGTAGCTCAAGTGATAGAATGCCTTCTTTAGCAAGAATGAAGGTCTGAGTTCAACCCCCAGTACCACCAAAAAAATAGAAAGTAAATATATTCAATATAAAGAAATTGAACTACAATTGAAGTATGGGTCTATTTAAAGGAGACTGTCAAATTCTGGCCATAATTCTAAAAATTCATTAAATGAAGAGAGCCAAATTATTTCCTCAGATATGTGAATAATAAGGATATCTTAAGAACTTATATGCAGGATGTGAAGAAAATATTCAATGAATAAAGACTGTTGAAATAAAATACTGTGAAGGTCCCTTTTAATTTTCACAGTGAATAGACACCAGTCATCTTTTCTTGAATTAAAAACTTAAAGCCCTCACCTTATTCAGAATACATACTATAACCCCAAGACAGCAATTTAAAAAGTGTTCCAATTTTTTTCTCATGTGCTGAACTTTATGAGCAGCCATTGCTGAAGATGAAGTAAGGGTAGAATTTAATTTTTGGCAGGCATGTCTGAAGGCAGCCCTGCTATCTGTGGCATGCAACAGCCTTGGCACGGGATCAAGGTCATCCTCTCCAGGGCATGTCTTTAAGATCACACTCTCTTAGAATTGAGCGCTCTGGAGAATCATTGGAACTCCGTAGTCACCTAATTTTATCCTGCTAAACTCTCTTGGTTATCAACATTATCTCTAATTCATATATGTGTAGGTATGGAGAGGAATAATAAAGAGACTTTTTTAAAAGACAAAATACTTAAAGTAATGCTCAGAAAGAGATTATCCACATTAGAATGTGTTTTTACATTAAATTGTCATATTATCATGATTCTTAATAGCAAAAATAAAGTAAATACCATATTTAGTTAAGACATGAAGAAAAATCATATAATATGATCACTAAGAGATAGAAAAAATACAAAAGTAAAGAAGAAAGGCAGCAGAGAGAAGAAGATGAATAATGAATTTCAAAAAATAAAAATAAACAGATATGCAAATACGAAATATGTATTTTTTAGAGTTACTACCTAATTCCCCTAAAAGTTATATTGATTGGTCAAAACATATATAATCACAATAGAATTAGAGACTCTTATTCTCCTTTTAAATGGACAATGGCCTACAGGAAAAAAAATAGAGTCACATGCAAATAGCAGCTTAAGTTTTCTCCTTTAAGGAATTACAGATATCAGTATTCTTAATCACCTGCTAAAAAATTACAAAGACATTTAACATAAAAAAGCACAATGGTTTCATCATTGGGAATGAGGAAAAGCAGAGGAAACTGGTATGTATTAAGGGGAAGAAGAGGTAGAAGGAGTGAATGCAAAGGTAGTTAGGTAGCTAAAAGTAAGCAGAGTGAAACAGAGCAAATAAGTACAAGAACAGATAAAAGGTATAAAAATGAAAATTTTGGTCTGGTAACGAAAAAACAACATTCCCTCCTTCAAAACTTGCTCTCTTCCCATAAACTCTATCGCTACTGGTGGAACAACCCTCTTCTTACCCACATGTTAAAAGGTGGGAGTCTTGAATGTAATGTAGCTCCTGTCTAGAGCTAAATTACTTGTTTACAATAAGTGCAAGGGGAAGCTGTCCTTTCTTGTCTCTCCCTGATGCAACCCTTCAGTTTGCTGCATATGTTATTATAATGTATCCCTTTCTGCATCTTTCTTGTGTTGTCTCCATTAACTATATTGCCCCATTTTTCTCATCTGCTTTGTCCCATCTCACTCAGGAAGTCCTCTGAATGACCCATACCCAAAATTTGAGTAGGTATCACTTCTCTCCACTCCCATAATGTCCTACACAAATCTCATGTACTGTCACAGTACCACAGTTTTCCTAGGTGACTGTCTTTCCCAGACTATAACCAAAATTTTATTTTTGTAAGCCCAATGTCTAATAGATGGCTTGACACTAGAACTGACTCTCAAAAATGTTTACTGAATGAATGAAGTTAAATAGTAAGTTCCTCATCTCAGAGTTTTCAAGTAAATTCAACTATGTTAAGAAAATTCCCATATTAGATAGGAGCTATGATCTTACATATGACTTTAGTCCTTCCATTTCTACACACATTTCCTATCTGCCCAGTTACACTGACTCTTTACACAGCTCTTTATAGTATTTATCAGTACAGATATATGAGTTTATATGGCTAGTTCTTTTCATCAGTCTGATTCTCACTGAAGACACAGCCTATGGGTAAAACGTCATCATACAGAGTCTGTTAAAAGGGTGATAACATTTATGAGACTTACTAAATACGTCTCCTCTGGGTTTCTGAGGATCTGTCTGTATCCTGTTGTCAACCGTAGTCCCTCTTGCAGATGTACTGATAGCAGGTGCTACAGTTGTCAGTCTAGTGGATGGCCTCTCTGGGGTTGGTGGTGGTGGAGGTGTTCTGAGCTCTGTTGGCAGGGGTGGTGGTGGTGGTGGAGTAGGCTGTAGTGTTGGTTTTGGTGTAAGTCTTGTTGTTGGCTTAGAAGTGGGCCTGTTGGTAATGACAGGAGGAATATATGGTGTCTTTGGAGGCCAGCTAGTACTTCCAACATCAGGGATCCAATTATTATGTCCTCCATCACCCTTTAAAATGGTTTCATTTCTTTTTGGTACATGAATTGGACCTGAAGGTTCAATCATGACTCTGGGGATATCTGAAAGAGTCCAAAGATTTAAGTTAGTATGTAAACTACCTTAATGACCCAAACCATGTATGCACATGTGAATAAATGAATAAAAAAATAAAAAGTGAAACATTAAACTGTAAAACACATGCACAGTAACATCTCATGACAACTATTCTTAATTCTTACATTTACCTTATTCCCTACTATAAATCATGCTATTTTACAAATAATAAATATGTGTCTTTGGATGTATGCAAAAATATATTGGTATTTCTATAATAAATATGTGTTATTTGAAACAGAAAAGCATTTTAAATATTTGCAAAGTGGTAACAGAATTTTTTTTTAAACTTCAGAGGCATTACATGTTATTTTTCAATATGAAAAATGTATAGTATGCTAAGTACATATATACTATATAGATGTTATAAAATTGTGTTTAGAATGTCTAAGACTAATACTTTTCTCATCTACACTTTATATATAATAAATTAATGTAAAAAGAGTTTGACTAAATGTTCTACATACTTTTATAATTGGATTTCCTTTCCCCTTACTAATTTATACAGTTGTTTTTTAATAAGAAATTTTTCAGAAGTTACAATGACCACCTGTGAAATCTTTTCTCTTGATAATATTCACCAAAAAGGATCAATATTTAATCTGCCTGGAATGATGTACCCCAGATTAGGAATGACTACACAACCCTTCAAAACCCTTGAATCCAAATAATTTTATGCTCCATGATTTTCCCTAAATATTTTACTCAAGAATTTTTTAAATTATCTGGTGTTACATGAAATGTATGCTAAAGTATGGCCTTTGGTTTGTAAAACCCTCATCTTGGAGGGTATGTGTGTTTTTCATGTTTATTTAACTAACCCACTACTCCAAATATAGCTTATAAAAATTTTAAAAGCAAAGTAGTTTTCCTTTTGAATTACAGTTCAGTAGCAGAATTAAAAGGCATAAAACAGAAAAAAATATAGACTAGATTCAGATTATCACCATAATCTAATGCTAATGAAAAACAAATTTATTTCTCAGGAAGGACTCTATAATTTTTGCCAGCTAAAGGGACACAATTGAGAGATCTTGGTCAAGAAAACTCTTATGCTTTTAAAATTAGAATGTATTACAGAGCCTTAATTTTTTAAAATACCTTAGTGTCTTATTGTTTATAGAAAGCATAGACTAATATTACTTGCCATGAAAATTAAATATCTTTAATAACTAATCATGTTCCTTTTCTTCCTTAGCAATGGTTTTTACATAAGCCTTTATTTCCTGCTGGAATTTAGAGCTGGAAGGCAAGTGTTACTTACACACACAACTCCATCCATCACCTTCATATCCGTCTTTACATTTACACCTGTAGGATCCATGTATGTTGAAACATTGAGCAAAGCTGCTGCAGTGGTGCTGACCAAGGGAGCACTCATCTATGTCTGCATCAGGGAGTAGCAAAAGAAATGGCTTAGTTAGGAGATAAATACGATGACATGAAAAATATACATAGTTTCAACCACGATTGTTCTGCAATGCAAAAGTCCACTTAAAATTAGTAGATAAACAGAAGAAATAACTGTACACATGGATTGAGAACTACCTTGATGTTGGTTGGTTGGCTGATTTAATTTAATGCCCATACCCTTCCCATGTCCTTGACATCCCAGCCATAACCACAGTTAAGGACCTTTCAGTGCTGTCAGAAGAAGCAACACAAAGTGATGGCTGAATTTCATTACCGTGACATTGATATTTGCCTCCAATGTACATGAGGTCGAAGCCTTTGTGACACTTGCAGATGTAACTCCCAAAAGTGTTGACACATTGCCTAAACCTTGGGCAGGAGACTCTCCCTGTAGCACATTCATCAACATCTAGAAACATAAGTTAATTGCATCTTAGGAAGAGTGAGGGCATGTTCAGACGGAGTAGGTTTTAAAATAAATCACAGACTGCAAACTGTTGCCTGGCACACAGTGGCTCTTCATATATGGTATCCAGCTGGTTACTCCTACAGCAAATATAAATTCCACATCTCCAAATTTCAACTTGCCCTCCCCATCCAAGCTGTTCTTTTCTCATACCATATATCAGCATACACTGCACGGTCTCCAACGCATTGCTTCAACTAGAAACATGAGTCATCCTTGACAGTCTTTTTCCCTTAATACCCAAATCATTCAGTCCAGTTAATTCCACCTCTGAAAAATGACTGAAACCTGTCTACCCCTGCTATTACTCTGTTCTAAACCACCATGTCCTGCATTAGACTTCACAAGTCTCCAAACTGACCTTCTTGCTGACAATCTTATTCCCTCTGAAGCATTCCCAAACTGTCAAAGTGATCTCATTAAAACACAGGATCAGATCATACTATGCAATTGTTTCTACTTACTTGTTGAATTAAACCTACATTTGTCCCTGTATCATTTTATAGGCTCTACAATAAATCACCTTCACTAACCTCCCTCATTGTATCTCAAGCCACTGCTCATATACTTACACTCTGCACTGAAGCCACAGTGACTTCATTCTTTAAAAACCTCATACAGGCTGGGTATGGTGTGACATACCCGTAATCTCAGCACTCAGGAGGCTGATGCAGGAGAATCAAGAGTTCAAGACCAACCTGGGCTATTAAGTGAGATTCTTTCTCACAAAACAAAAACAGAAAACACACAACAGAGTAACCTCTTTCTCATGGCAGGCCCTACAACACCTCTTAGTAGACTCTTCAGCTAAAGGCAGAGGTCTTTTACTTTAGGGCTTTCTTTCCCTGACCATTAGTTTTTAAAGCAGATAATTTCTGTGGGTTTTTTTTTTTTCTCTTATAACCTCATGGTAACATTTAGCATGGCCATTAATTTTATTGAGTAGTTGTTACTTTTTGACTAGACTTTCAGTTTCCTTAGCATCAAAATATTGCCTGAGGGCAGAAGTGGCTCAAGTGGTAGAGTGCCTGTCTATCAAACAAGAAGTCCTACGTTCAAACCTAGAAACACCACCAAAAAAAAAAAATCTTGTCTGCCTTATGCACTGATGTGTATCCAACACTTAAAAGTGTCTGGAACATAGAAACTACTCAATAAATATCTCTCGATAACAGAACATCTTCATGTAGTGATTACCACATGCTAGGTACTGTGCTAAGTTCTTTAAGCACATGATCTCATTCAATACTCACAACGGTTCTGTGTGGCATTATTCTCATTTAAAGATAAGGATAGCTAGGCTCAAAGAAAGGAAATCTATTGCCTAACATATCTAGTATGTGGCAGAGTCAGGTTTGAAACCAAAGTGTGGACTCAGCTACAATTCTATACTGCCTGTCATCTTAATTTTCTGGGAAAATAAACCTAACCACTGTGGTGTAACATACAATCTAGCTCTGTTGACCTCTCCAGCTTCATCACTTCATTGCTCCTCCTTGACTCTGATCTTCTAGAAATACTGAGATCTTCTTGTTTTCCTGAAAATTGTCCTCTGTGGAACCTCAGTGCTTTTGTACATGTGGTTCCTTCTGCCTGAAGCTTCCTCTTGTCCCTCATTTTTGACAAAACAAGTTTTCCATGGAGTATTCACAGAGAGGTCTTCTGCTGAGATATCTGATATCTTCTAGCGGGTAGCTAATTAGATTATGTAAGTAACTGCCTTTTTTCCTTACTCCCATAACCCTCCACTGTCATCCACAGATGCTTGATGCTACAACGCACCCACACAGGTCCTCCCATCAGGAGCTAGCTGCAAGCCAGGGGAGGGGCACTGGCACCGGACTTGTCCTTTGACAATATCACAGCCATACTGACAGTTTGCCATGGAGCACGAAAGGGCACCTGAAAAGAGAGTGAAATGATGACTTAGAGAGGTAGAAAACAAAATCTGTGATTTAAATAACTATGTTTTTTACTTGTCCTGAAGTAAGTATCATTGAATCCACAATGACGACAATGATCCAGTTAACTGACATTCTAAAGAAAGGAAGCAACAGAAGAGGATCAAGTGGGGAGGTGAGAGGAGACAAGAGAGGACAATGGGGGTGAATATGACAAAGTATGTTATGTACATATATGAAGATGATATGAATCCCATTATTAGATACAATTAATATTTTGTATTAAATACAAAAGGGAAAGAACTCCATTCTACAAGGATGGTCAAGAAGTGAACCAGCTCCATCATCTTTTGAAGGAGACTTTTAATGCTTTTGTAGAATTAAAAGACAGATGTAAAATTTTACACCTCATATAGATTATCTGGAAACTTTTTCAGTGTCTAAGGAAAGTAGAGAATTGATGAATTTTTTCAGATTACTCAAGCTAAGCGCTGTTCTTAACCAACACATCCAAGTAATTGTCTCAACCTACCAATTCCTCTAGAGGACAGGATATTCCAATGAGTCATACAATGTTAGAGGATTTCAGTGTCACTGCCACATACTATTAAACACGTATGTCATCCCAAAAACTTGCATCGCAATGTTTATGCACTGCTAAATAAAATCAACTAATCTTTCTCTTTTTTTTACTTTATAAAATGCAACCTAGTTAACTGATAATTTTGTAAAAATAAAAATCAAGTCACTAGCTATTGAATTATCATAGAAATATAAGCTTGGTTCAATGTTCAGCCTAAGAGAATTTTAGGGTGTTGTCTATCTTATAAACATAGAGTATAAAAATAGAGTATCTTCTGATACTCTATTCATTTCTTTTTCTTCACTTGAAATAGTTTTCTCTGTCTTTTAGACTATTATGAAATATAAAAAAGAAGTGAGAAGGTATTTATGAATGCTTATAATCACTCATCAAATCTGATGGATTCTCTATAAGCAACACCTTGATAATCACTAATACTGTTTTTTCCTACTTGAAATAGTTCTACACTCTGGTAGAATTCAGGGATACATGCATTGGAAAAGACATTAGGAAATGTCCTCAGTTTTGTGATTCTTGTTCCAAACATCATTTCTACATCAATTTTATATTTCCACCAATAGTAAAAGAATGTCACACATCTAAAATGGGTACCTCTTATTTGATTTTCAGTCCCTCAGGCACACTTATAAACACATGCACACATCCTGTTCAGGAGAGCCCAACAGGCCATTTTGACAAAGGCATGCTACCTCAGCACGTCAGAAATCAAGCCCAAAGCACTTATAAAGCAGTTAAGATTCTTGACATACTTGAGCAGGACCCATCCGGCATAAGCATATATCCGTTGAGACAGTAGCACTTGTAGCTGCCGAAAGTGTTCATGCACCTGTGCTTACAGGGTCGAGGCTTCAGTCCACACTCGTTTAGATCTGGGTTGATGCAGAAAAATCACAAAACCTTAGCACTACGGTAAAATCTTTAAAATGCTTTTCAAGATAGGAAAATGATGAAAAGTGGGTTGAGACATAGCACCATGATTTACGTGAGCGAGAAGGCTTGTTCACATACTCTCGCCTATTCATTACAGTAGGGACAAAACCAGGAGCTGCCATGACCTTTGTGGAACTCTGTTCATAAGGGATAGTTAGGAAGAATCTCCTCCCAGATATGCATCTGCTTTATCATGTCTAGAAAGAGCAACATACTTCCTCATGGGTACTTTATCATCTATCATCGACCTGACTGTCAGTATGCTCAAATAATCTGTGTTCCCCTGCTAGATTCACTTCTGATAATGGCCACTCTTTCAAGGTCTCCTTTTTTCTGTTTAAAGAAAATACGACATGAGCACATTGTACTTCACAGAAATATACAAACTTTAAAACATTAAACTGCTTTGAGTTTCTCAAAGTATACCTGTTTTCAGAGAATAAAATATACATAAATGAGAGTAATCAGTATTGTGGAATTTTTTTTGTTCAGTTTTGAAGATTTTATTCTGATCTCAGACTAAAGAAGAAAATTTAGTTTACTATTTTAGTAATGCATTCAAGTGACAGAGTAAGTTAGAAAAAGAAACAAATGTATTTTTCACTCATTTGGCAGTTAAGAAGGGGATATGGAAATACTAATGGACAAAACAGAATGGACTATCATGTATTTAGGTTTATTGATTTAAATAAGAAATAAATTAATGAATTCCACATCATAAAAATTTTCCAACTCAAGTTGAACACTGCTACAAGTGAACATAAAATTCACAATGACATATAAACAATGAAAAAGTAATGTCCATTACATATACTTCATTAAAAAGATATGTAACCATGTGTTTATTTTGTCTGGAAATACCAGCATAAGTACCTAATTAGCATAATTTAATTGTCAATTAATTTATTAATCCATGACACTGAGTAAGAAATGATACTATATCTTGTACAAAATTGTTTTCAAACTTAATCAAATTTAAATCTGAACGGTCCATATATTAGAAATCTATGTATTACTTATGTAAACCATTATATTTTAATTTTTCATTATATTTCATTGTATTTTAAAATTACCAAATAATTTCACATCTTACTGACTTTCTAACCTGGTCCTTTTCTAGCTTTAACACAAATGTAAGCAAATACCCAGCTGGGCAAATCCTGGAAAGGTTAAATAAATAAAGCAAATACTTTTGCCATTTCCTATGCTTTCTCCAGTCCTCTACTTTACTGTCTCTTGTTCAGTCAAGAGTTTTCAAAACAGAATCACATTTTAAATCAAAACTTTCTCATGAAAGGTATTTTGTAGATTACATTGTCAAAAATGCTGATTTCTCCCTCTATTAAATGAAGTAATAGTCTAGGAGGAATAACTAAGTAGAAATTTTCCCCCTTTCCCATATTTTTCTCCCTTGTATTCCAGTCCTTATTTAAACACTGAATCAGGAAAATTTTTCTCATCTTCTAAGAGAAGTTTATTATCATTCCTAATATGGCATGTGGAAGTCTTTGATAAATTTCTGATTGATATTATAGTAAGTAACACTTAAATCTGTGTACATTATAAGAGAAAAGCTTTGTGTTTTAAATTTTTTTCTACACTAAGAAAAATATAACAAAACAGAAGATGGCAATAAACTAAGACTGAATTCTATATCTCAAGAGAAGTATACTGATCAATTTAAAATATGAATTAAGAATTCTTAGGTTTATTTTTAGAAAGACACAGAAACTTTAGTGGCTTCCTGATAGAATTTGTCAGATGTTTATAGCTCCAGGCAGCTCAAGAACAAGGAGTATTTATGCAATTATATCTCTTCAGATACTGTGTCCACAGACTAAAGACAACTCTTCCATAACCCAGCTCCAACGCTGGCCAATTAAGGGGTACCTTTGAGTTGTTATGGGAATCTTCCTAATCCAGATTGGGGCTGCTGGTGATCTTAGAGACTGGTTTTAACCCAAATTTATCTTTCCCTTCCCATGGAAAAAGCACTTTGGAGCTAGGAATCATGAAACTGACAGGAAATAGACACCGATAAACTGTCACAATTAAAAAAATCTAGGAAAAACTCTATGAAATAATATGTAAAAGGAAGAAAACATGTAACATTCAATGAGTGTATGTGGAGAGAATTATTGCTATTTTAAATGTTATTAAACTGGCATATAAGTCTCCAAACATGTAGAATGCAACTTGAGAAAGTGGTACTCTAACAGCTGTTGATGGACTAGAGGACTCCCTGGCAAATGGCTGGTGTTAATATCCCCTTTGACTGCCACCATGGTCCCATCCGCCTCAAGCAGGCATCTCCTAAGAACCTCACAATGACCCCTATCAAGACGACTGTTGACATTACAAAATAGGATTCTGCAGTCATCCATGTTTATCAATTTTTGCCAAATATTAGATATTGCTGAAGTAAGGTGTTTGAAAAGATTAAATGCATTTGGTGTACTGGTGAGAAACCTCTTTGTCCTCAATTTTCTTGAGGGTTTCTATTTTATAATTATGTTACCTTATTTTCTTGTTGACCTAAAGCATTATAAAATTGGGTTAATATGTGCTACTTCCAATAAATGCTGTACTCATTATTATAATTTATTATACTACGGACTTAGTAACACTTGTGTTGTTATCAAATTAAATTAGAAATTAAAAATGACACTTCTGTATTATGTTAAATGACCCTATAATAATAAGCACAACAAAATAAAGACCATGAAAATTCACCTTGATACACATTGCCTCAAATAAATATTAAAAGTTGATAAGCAAACCTTGGAAATGAAACATTAGTGCTTTTATTCTAAATTTACTTTAATCTTGCTCTTTCTGGAAGTTTATAATCTAATATAAATTATCAAGAAAATCTAGGGTAAAACTTTGTCGAATTCAATCAGGTACCTGTCTTATACCAAAGGTTAGAAATTTACAGTTAAACCACTTACATTCAAATACTTTAAGCAGCATGTATATAAATCCTAAAGAGCCATCAGGAGTACATTTAAGCAGACTGGTAGGTTCAAGAGCTTGACGACAGGGGGAAAAAGGAGAAGCTTCTTACTCTAGACCAGGGAGCTGGTCTAGAACAGAAATGCAAGCTGCATAGCATTACTGTTACACTTCAGAAAAAAATGAATCAGAAATTTTATTAGCATGCCAACATTGAAAAGTAGCTTGAAAAAATGAAGAGATTCATTTAATAAGATAATCCACTGGTGTTTTAAGGGAAATAATCTTTCATTAATTTCAATGCATTAATGCATTTGGACTTTTTTCCTCTTTGATGCTTAAACTTGGCAATGTTTCAGAAATCTAACTTTTAAACTTTATTTGACTAAAGTAAGATCATAAGCAAACAGATATCAGTCTATCATCTACCACATCTTATTTAAATTGTAACTGAATTGAAATGAATCCCATTGTTCTAATTCCTTGTGCAGAACATATACGAATGTATCAAGCTGCCTATCAACAGACAGATAATATTTTATTTTAGTCATTCTAAATTCCTAAAACTATGAGTGAATAAGGAATAAAACCTATTGGAAGAACTATAAAATTATCCTACCACCTTACTTTTCTACAAACTTTTCTAGCACTGTAAAAGTATGAATATTTTTAGTGGTGATTCCACTCTCATACCAACCCTCCAGGCAAATAGGGCAAGAATTACTGTCCTCTACTACTGACTGGTTTGCTAAGACCCAGACACTTTAAAGACTTGCTCACAATCAAACAGCTAATTTGAACAAGAACTTAGGCTTTCTCATATTACAAAATGTACACTGAGTGAAAGAAGCTAATGAATGTTTTGATTTCTTGGTAAAACTAAATTTCTATAATTCAAATTGACAGTGGTGGGGAAGAGGACTAAATTACTTCTAAAATCTACCTGACAAAAGGCATCAAAACCCCAATTTCAGTTACTTTGGCATTCATGACCACCTACATATGAAAACAAAAGTTATCTTTCTATCTGATTTTTGGAAAATATTTCAAAACCCAGAAAAGAGGAAAAGCAAAACCTGATACAGTAAAAGGAGAGTAAAGACTCCATGCTTTTCAGGGCACAGAGAATCAGCACTAGTTGACAATTCCTGCAATTTGCTTCACATGCTCAGGCTGAAGGCTAGTCACTCCTGGGCTAGTTTCAGAACATTTGCAAGAAGTGACCTAACTGCAGGAAGCCATGCAGGTGGGAGGAGTAGACCACCTGAGACAAGGCACGCTCACCCCTTGAAGGTAAACTTGTGGCTTGATGATCCAGGGGTTGGAAAAGAGGGTGTTCACTGCCTTGGTCAAGAGGAGTTGGGTAGAAAGGTTCGTCTTCACACCAGGAAGAAGGTAATAAGAGTCAATTTTGAACTGATGTCATTTTTAGTCCTAAAAATCTTTACAAGTATATATTAAATAATTACACAAAGTTGATAGGGTTTAAAAGTTACTATTTAGATACTTTAGGAATAAAGTTTTTGTTTCTTTAAAAATCTATGAGTCATCTTGCTTCCCAAAGACAATATGCACATTATAAATTAATAATTCATCATGCTCATATCATTTTTAAAAAACAAAAGAGATGGCCATTTTTTTGGTAAGTGAGTACTGGGGTTTGAACTCAGGGTTTCATTTTTCCAGGCAGGCGCTCTATCACTTAAGCCATGTCTCCAGCCCAAGATGATCATTTTTTAAAAAATGATTTTAGTCATCAACAGAAGGGAGAAAACAACAAAAAATAATCCAATTATACAAATATTGACTATAATCAACCTGTTCTGTTTATGGATATTAAAGTCTTAAATGACCAACTTAATATATGATTTCTAAAAAGACCTTATCTAAATCATAGCATGATAGATTATTAATATTTTCATTCAAAAGTACAAACTTGTGTCACTTATGTCACGTTTAACTAGAACATACATTAGAAGCTTTATGCAAAAAATGTTAACTGTTGTCATTATTAGTTTGCTAAAATATAAGATGAATGAAAACTCAAAATAGAGATCAAAAAGGCACTCACACTCTGTTTTATTAACCAGTTAAACCTCCAAATCAAACATTGGTTTCTGTGGTTGAAATCATCCATCTTTCAAAAAGTAAGGCTGTAGATAATGACCCTCATATCAGGGTTAAACACTTGGATTGCTGTGGTAGTAAAGCAATCAACTTTCAGATGTAACCAGTACTCCAAAATTTAATGTCTGGTCCTGTGCAATAACATACTAATGCTTTTCTTGTAAAGAGTTATCCAACATATGAATCATAAACCATGCCATAACATTAGTAACTGATATTTATACTTTCTTCTGAAATTACTATAAAGCATATGGCAAATTCAAAAGAATGACTTTCATTTCTAAAACTATGCAATGATACAATACATTTGCATGTTAAAAATAATTCCCCAATGGGAAAGTCCTAAAGAGATTATTATCTATAATAGTATTCATTTTTGGATGTGGAGAGAGATTTGTATGGGTACAGAGACACAAAGAGAAGGGAAATATGAATGAATAAAATTACCAGAGAATGTAAGTGGGAGAGCATATGATCAAAGACAATCTTGTCAGAATTTGGATTAGAATTCCATCTACTGTGAAAGGTATCACGTGCCTCATAGAGTACATGAATGACCAGTCCAAACCTATAACTTTATATCTGATCTTAGAGTAGCAAATCGAGAAAATGGCTCAGGGAAGAACAAGCCACCAAGAGCAGCCTAAGCCTGTGACAAGGTTATTAAATTAAGGCAGCTCCAAAGTGCAGCCTGCCCTGCTCTTCTGGCTGCTCCCGAGGCAGCTCTCAAGGCACTGGCTAAGCACTTGTCATTTATTCAAGCTGTTTATTCTGCCAACCAAGTTTCCAAGGGGTTAGTTCTTAAAAGTGTATAACTTGCAGCAAAATTCTTAGCCAATATTTGCCTTATACTAAAACCTACTTTTAATCAAAAGCTAATTTCCAGTTCTGTGAAATTATTTCAAATTTACAGCTTCTTGACATTTCTCTCCTTCAGAAAAAATAAACCTATTTGACTTCCCATATCTGAGGCATGTTTTCCACTTTGTTAAAATGTGTGGACCTAGATAAAGACAGTCTGAGTTCATTTGTTATATGGCTGCTATGGACAATTTGGTCTAATAACTTTATTGGGGGGGCAGTATTGAGGTTTGAACTCAGGGCCTCACACTTGCTAGGCAGGCACTGTACCACTTGAGCCACTCCGTCAGTCTTGCTCTAATAATTTTTATGGGGATATCCAAGGCAGCTCTCACACTTTCTCAGGTCACTCACCACAGTCTCTTTCAACCTGGCAGGGCTCTCAGCGTATGGATTGAGACTGCCTAAACTGCGGTACCAAAAAACTCTGTAGAACTCTCTCTAGTTCCTATGGTGTTTTGCACTAAGAACCATTACATGAATCAGTCATTCATTTAACAAATATTAAATGTGCATTTAGCATGTGCAAGTCAGACATTGATAGTTTCCAAAACTCAGACACCATAAAGGACTCCTGTTCTCTAGGAATTCCCATCAGGAATGTGACACAGTTGCTCATTTTACAGAGAACAAAGTAAGAGATGATTAAAACATTGAGTTCACTCTAACCTGGGGGTTATTTTCAAGATCAGACTTGAAATTACATTTGCAGTGCCACCACTCTTTTTGCACGTTTTAAATCCCACTTTGCTACTAATAAAAACCTTCTCTACTTAAGGAATATGGTTTGGGGAGGCAAGATTTTAACTTGGTATATTCCAGTTTTTCTTTAGAAAATACATATGTGTTACAGGAAAAGTACATGGTAAACTGCTTTTTGTGAAAATAAGTTACCCAGTGATGGAGCTCTGTTCCAATAATAGTTTTAGTATTTTTGAAGAACCATAGTTGATGGTTAAATAAATTTAAATGAATTTCTCTGCAACCTCAAAAGTAACTTATTTTCATAGTCTTCTTTATGTAAATTCTTGATATTGAGACAATAAAGTTTTATAGTGTTGACATATTAATGAAACTTCTTAGGGTTATGTTTATCACCTTAAAAAAAGAAGTGTACTGGGTTCTAAGAATACTGAGAACTCAAAAACTAGAACCTAACATACTATAACTTATGAACTTAGGCTGGGAAAGAAAAATCAAAATGGATTTTTCAAAGGTTACAATGAAATTAAAAGAACACCACTTACTTCAAAAATTACCCATGTGTGTTTGGTAAATACCAAGTTAAAAAATATATTATAAGATAGGAAATAAATGTTGTTAAAATCAGTTATAAATCAAATAGATAAGGGCTGGAGATGTGGCTCAGTGGAAGAGCACTTACCTAGCATGTATAAGGCCTGGGTTCCATCCCCAGGACTGCAACAACAACAACAGATGATATAAGAACATAATTTCAATAGTAGCTTCTCTTAATGTTGGAAGATGTCACATTTTACTAGCATAGATTTCATCTGATGAATAATTGCATATACTTTCAAATATCAGTGTTCAGATGTTGTGCAAGCTTTGTCTATAAATCATAGACATAGACATCTCAAGAAGGAGTATCCAGGAGTCAGTATCAGATACTGAAATGTTTCAACAATATCCTTTCTGTATCAGAAGAAGTCAAGTAAATATCTATGGAATAGTTAAACCCCACAGCATTATTTCATTTGGCATTTAAAATGACAGGGAGTAAAACTTTAATTTAAAAAATGTTTTATCCTTAGAGATAAGGGCAAAATAGTTTCTGCCAGGTAGCGAGGGGTAAGGGGGTGGTAAGGGGGGGTGGGAGGTGGATAAGGGAGGGAGATGGGGGAAGAGGGGAGAAATGACCCAAACATTGTATGCACATATGAATAAAATAAAAAATTTTTAAAAATTGTTAACAGTGGTTACCTTGTGGCTGATGGAAGAAGAATTTTCAATTTTTTAATTTTTGTACTTGTATTTGAATTTTTTAAGAATTAGTTTGCATTAATTTGTGGTTATAAAGCATGTAAACAATGAATAATATTTAAATATATAAAAGTTTGTATGTGTTTTCAGCAAAAAAAAAAGTTTTATCTTTTAGTGAAAGCTAATGCTAACTTTTATTTCTAGCCTTTTAAACTCCTAATAATTGAAAAGTTGGAGTAAAATTAACTAAGATCAGCCTTGTTTCACTTGTTAGGAAACAGAAGAGGATCACATTTTCAATTATATTTTCTTTATCCAAAGCTAATATGCCAGAAAAAGTATGGATTGTGTAAACAACAGCTCTAAGTTGACATACTAGCTCTTTTACCAACGAATTCCATTAACTTGGGCAAGATAATATCGCTAAGCTTCAGTCTCTTCAAATGAAAAATGGAAAAATAATTTATAAATTACTTAGACCTTAATTATAATAAGTACCACTCTAACTCCTACTGTTCTTGTAAGGATGAAACAGATTACATGTGCGTGTGTGTGTGTGTGTGTGTGTGTGTGTGTGTGTGTGTGTGTGTGTAGATACACAGATATATAACATACTTGCAATACTCTAAAAATCAGATAAAAGTTTGCTTTTATAAGCAGTGGATGCTGATGTTTTTAATCACTTAGTAAATTAACCAACAGTTTTATTTCTCAGAGGAGCATTCCAAACTAGTCAACACACAATGAAAGTGCTCATTGTTAAACAGAATCTCCAAATTTCAAGTCAAATGCCCTACCTGACTTCTGGCATTAAAGGGGAGGAAAACCTGGGGTCCAAGGTTGCCCAAAGCTTCTCAACTCATTAGTAAAGAATAAGAAGTATCAGGATGTATGGCTTTTACATTACATATACAAAATACACTTTAATTAGTATCAGAAAATAAAACTAAAGGGATAAAATTAATTTGATTGACCTTTGAGGAAATAGCTTTATAAGATCTACATTACTATTTTTTAATTTATCATCAAAACGGTAGCTCATACATTTGGGAAAATAGCTATGGAAACTAGTTTGGAATGAGCATTTAAGCCTTTTAATCTGTCAAGAATAGGTATCAGATGATTTTTCAGATCACTCTCCTACCTTGATTGCAGGTTTTTCCAGCATATCCAGGATGACATTTGCACTTATTTGGCCCGATACATTCTCCATGTTTGCACTGTGGTTGGCACACAGCTGTGAAAAGAAGATATCATGCATTATGTTTACATCAGCAGCATAACAAGCACCTAGCACTTGTCATGGACTAGTGTAACAATTTTTTTAAAACTAAGAATTTACAATAAAGCATCAGAATAATATAAAATCATTGCTTCCTGTAGACACTGTCTGCACTACACAGAAACACATAAATATGTGTCTCTCTGTAAAAATGTGTGTCTGTGTATATATGTATCACTTGGGACTAGGAGATATTGTGCATGTGAGGATAATATTTAAATAATTTAAAAATGCAAAACTATGCATAATCATAACTGATATTTGTCAGCAGTTATAATTTTACAATAACTTGCACCCATAATTCCAAACTCATTTTCTCAAAGACACTTTAAAAAAGTTAGTTTTTAGTCCAAAGATTCTGGATTAACAGGTATGAAATCAAGATAAATTTCTGGGCTGGGTGTATGGTTCAGTGGTAGAGTACTTGTCTAGCATGCAGGTGGCCCTGGTTGGATCAGCAACACCACACAAATATACATTTCAAATTAAGTAATAAAATACTTATTTTAATAGGAATAATATTCTAAGTATGAAATGATTCAAATGAAACAAACTATAACATGTTTTATACTTCTATTCAAGGATATTTCCATTTTCTTGATCTTTCTTAATACTAAAATGTATTGCAAGTGCTCTTAAATTTATAATGGGTTTCGCAGCCTACCACAGCAAACAAAAGTTCTCAGCTTAGCCTTTTCTCTGTCCTATCACCTGTGTTCCACTTTCCCTAAGACCTCAAAAACTATAAATCATCACTCTAGTATTTTCATAGTCTGGAATTCACTCTGTTTATTCTTTGTCAGGAGTTCTCAACTAGAGGTAGTTTTGGCTGTTGGGGACATTTGGCAATGTTTGGAACAATATTGGTTGTCATTGGGGACATTTAGTGGGTAGAGGACAGGGATACTGCTAAACATCCTATGATGCTCAGATAGTCAACTCTGAGCAAACAAATTATCCTAAACATCCTATGATGCTCAGATAGTCAACTCTGAGCAAACAAATTATCCAACCTCGAATGCTGTGTTGCCAAGACTGAGAAACCATACTCTGTACTGTACTCAATAGGTTCATGATATTATGCCAAACACTACCCAGGCAAAAAATAATTATATAGCATGGTTACTGGTTTCAAGGATCTCACAATCTAGATGAAGAAACAAAACAATTGCAGGTTTTTAATGCAAAGAAATATTTGTGAACAAAATGGGTATCATATATGAAATGAGGAAACCATCACACAAGCAAATCCATATGGATTTGTGCAGCAAGCCTTACAGAAGACCCTGTATAAGATCATAAAGCATATAGACACAAGAGGGAACTACTACCAAAGGAGAAGAAAGCTACATAAAGTTGACTATAGGTTAGTCAGAGGTCACTCAGGAGGCCCATGAAACTAATGAGATGGGGCCCAAGAGTGAGAAGCAGTCATTCCTGAGTGCTTTCAGGTTTTCCTGTTCCTTAAATTTTAGACTGAGGAATGTATACTTTATGTCAGAAATGGGATGATTTTTGTAAATTTATTCTCATAAGGAGAATTAGTGGATAAAAATGAAAGCTCTCGGAATATTAGCATGGTGAGCATTTGTAGAATGGCCTGGAAAGCATCTGGAAACAGAGAAAGCAGTTAGAAAACCAGTGAAATCATTCAGGTCTGAAATGAGGAAGGCATGATATGTGTAGACAACAGGAAGACATAGTCTTCAGTAACCAATGAGTGAAAAGCAGGTCTTGAAGACCCAGGAAAACAGAGTCAACGATGACCCTGAGTTTTGAAGCCCCCGACACCTGTTCCTCCATGTCAATGTTCTTCTCCATTATGTGGTGTGCTCTCAGTTTCCTCTCTGATGATTCCTAAACATCCCTTCCTTTGAAACTCCTGCAACAATGATGTGAATGTTGTTTTCAACATTCCCTCACTCAGCTCTCATTAACCCTTCCTTCGCCTTTCCAAAATTATTTGCCAATTATACTTTCAGGCCTTTCCTGCTTGTTTATTTGTTACACCAACTGGACCCTGTATCACTACCAATCTTTAGACAGTGAGACTCCAAAAGTATTTAATTTAAAAAAAAAGCTTTCTGAAAGAGGATGAGCAGAGTGTAAATGGGAGAGAAACATTTGGGGATTTTTTTTGTTTTCAGTACTGGGGTTTGAACTCAGGGCCTTCACCTTGAGCCACTCCACTAGCCCAATTTTTTTGTGATGATTTTTTTCGAAACAGAGTCTCACAAACTATTTGCCCAGGATTGCTTTGAACCACAATCCTCCTGATCTCTGCCTCCTGAGTGGCTAGGATTCTAGGCGAGAGCCATGGGCGCCCAGCTGGGGAATTCTTAAGATCTGATTTTAGGGTGTGACATTAAATTCAAAGGGAAAGGATTTTGTTCAGCTCTGTGAGAAGAAATGACCTATCTAGGAGGACCTTCTGAAATTACTGTAAATTGAGTCACACATGATAAATGGTTTATACAGTATGCAGATTTTAAAACAAGTTCCAGAAACAATCTACTCTATATGTAATATCAAGGCTTCTTCACCAAGAAATGAAATTTTGAAAAAAAATTTTAATCTTGGAAAATGGATATTAGAAAGATTAACCACTGTATGTGAATGCAACTTGAATAATCAAGTATCACTGAGGAACCCAGATTTCTGTATTTATAAAAAGGTAAACATCTCAAAATCATTAGATGTAAGTCAGGGTAATACTCCCCCCCCAAAAATAATTGTAATTTGAAAATATCTCTAAAAACATAGCAAAGACGCTTAGAAAATACCACTTAAAAACATGAATTTCATTTAGGAGAGGGCACTTTACAAAACAATCAAACTTGAGGTCCCCATGCTTTACTGGCTTTGAGCCCAAACTACCTTGATAACCACCCATATATAGTGTTTTCAGGTACTCTCTAGTAACAAAATGTTTTTTGTTCTCCTTTCTTTTTTTTGTTATTTGTTCTTAGCAGAATGCCCTAATCTTGGGCACATCAAAACCACACATTTTAAGAGATCAAGACTTTTAATGTTTCTTCTAAGTTTAGGGAGTCAGTATTTCTAAGGAAACTGCTGATTGCACTTTTAAAAGACAGACTGAAGTAACCAACAATCAAAGATTGGTCAACAGCTATTAAAAGTGATAGGAATATTTATGAAGCTGATATAATCAATGATTTTGTGCAACATTTTGCACAAAAGGACTTTGTGCTATTATATTGTCATCCTTAGGTCTAGGATACAACTCAATAAATATGTATAGAATATTTATTAGGTACAATGCATTATACTAGAAAAATATGGGGGAAAGAGAGACAGAAGTTATGAAAAACTTAACTGTATAACTAATTATGTTTAAGCCATGACAAGGGCTTTGATACAGAAATGAAAGAACAAAGGAGTGTGGATAATAACTATAACTACAGATAACTCAGGTGTGAATCGTGATCTGAGCAACTGTTAGAGGTAAGAAGCAGTTGAAACTGGAGACAAAAACTTTTCAGAAAATGAGTAAGTGAGAGGGAGAGACAGTGAAGAGGATTCTAGTGAGTGCAAAGTGTTCTTGTGAAGCTGTGGTGTAAAGTGCTTAAAACAGCAGATGAGATCAAAAGGAAGACTACGATAGATGATAAAAGGCCAGCTAGATTCTATATTTTCCTTTCCCTTCTGCTTTAATTCAAAATGGCTTTTGCATTTTAATTTTTTTAGTGTTCAGTGAGCTAGCAATGGAAAACTACATTTCCTATTCTCCTTGGAAGCTATGGGTGACTAAATTCTGGTTAATTTTGTATGTAATCAGAAATAATCAGGTGGGTCCCAGTGATGCCTGACAAGTATGCCTCTTTTTGCCTGGCACATAGAAGTCATGGCTGAACTACCGTGGTCTCTTATGACTGCAAGATGACCTTGAGAATGGACAGTAGGGCAGAGCAAGAAGTCATGGTATTAGTCCAGAATCCCTGTGTCACTGTTGCACTCCACCAAATACAATCTCTAATTGACTTTCCTTTGAGCACCAGGCTGTGGAATCTGGACTTACACTGTTTATTATCAAGCCAGAAAAGGGTTTTATATATACATCCCAATAGAGAAAAGAAATTCATCAAGTTTATATTTACAATACCATACAATCATGGGAGTATAAACTTCATTTCTACATGAAAGTGACTAGATTAGAAAATATACGCCCATCTGAGAACTACAGAAAAATGATTCTCAACTTTTGTGTGAATTGACCCACCTTCTAATAACTCATTGCACTGTAATGTGGCTCTCGAGAGCCAGCAAAAACCAACCCTGTAACCTGTGTTACTCTGTGAATAGTAAGTCATTCACCAACCCCTCAACAGAAAAAAGGATAAATGATCTATTTTCATATTCTAAACATCAAAAGTACACTAAAGGTAGAAAAAATAATGTGCCTGTTGATGCAACTGGATAATCAGATAAGATAGCATTGCTTCTTTGACATTTGTGTAGATCAGAGACAAGAAATTTGGGTCACATTGGGTGACACCGTCTCTGGCATCCACATATAACTTAGTAGCTCAATAAACAAAGGCCAGCTAAGGATCAGAGACATGACAGGCTTTTTTCCCCAAAACCAGTGACCAAAATTAAGCCCAAATAGATAAATCACACCCCAAACTTACTAACACTCCTACAGCATCATCTCCAAGATGCCCTTAAAGTACCTTCTACATCACTGTTTTAACTAGGAAAAAGGAACAAGTCTCAACTGGCAAAGCAAACATAACTCTTCAGTGTACATGTCTGAGGCTTTTCTGTTTGACTGCAATCTAAATTTTTTCTCTTAAAAATCCATCCTAACTGATGTAACTGGGGTTTTGGACAATGTTTTACAACTCTGATATAAGTTCTGAGTTATCAAATTAGTTAGGGGAAACTTAAACTCCCACATTATATATGCAATGTTTCATATGTAAGTTAATCAC